GCAAGAGGAGAAGGGGAAGACCGAGGATGAGATGGCTGGACAGTGTCTGCGAAGCAACCAACATGAATTTGACACAACTCCGGGAGGCGGTGGAAGATAGGAGGGCCTGGCGTGCTCTGGTCCATGGGTCACGAAGAGTCGGACATGACTAAACGACGACGACGTGCCTGGTGGTGATGATGATGATGATGATAGTAGAAGTAGTAATAGTAGTAGTAGTAGTAGTAGTGTGCTTTAAAAGTCAATTCCGACTTATGGCGACCCTCCTCAGGGTTTTCTACATAGAGAACAGACAGAAGTGTGTTCTGAGACGTTCTGGGACTATTCATCTTGCCAAAGGCCTCACAGGCTGGCTCTTCTAGGATGCACAGTGAGGAATCGCACTCCCAACCACATACCAAGCCAGGGAGCTGTCATCTAATAACCCTCTGCTAAATTCCACCAAATCCAGGCTGATTTTAAAAAAATGGCTAGGGAAATGAAAATAGTTCCTCTCGCTACAAATCCAAACTTCTGGTCGTAATTGTGAGATTCACAGAAAGCAAACCCATGTGTTCTGAGCTGGGGGCGAGGGCAACCGAACTCAGCGGGGCAGTTTCTGACGTAGAGTGCCCAACATTTAGCTGTTTGTTGCCTTTTGGAGTCCACAATGCCTTTTGGAAATGTTCAGCAGTGTTTAACAATCTGAAGTACATTCAGAGTTGCTCAGAGGCCCTTGTGAGACGTGTTTAGAAGACGAATCCTCATTTCTTCACAGTTTGTGAGAAGGTTGTAGCCATTTCCGGACCAGAGTCTATTTTCTTCCAAAATTAATCTAATGGGCTCCTGAAATTCAGAGCTGCTCTGTTCTTTACTGGAAGTACCAACGACTTTGACTTCTGACGAGTTCTGATTTAAACGAAATTTCTCCAAATTTGTGTTCTTACCACAGTCCCTTCGGGGAACGCCAGATGATCGCCCCCGGGGAGGGTGGTTGGGAATTCTAGAACTCACAGTTTAAGACGGGAAATTCTGTCTCAATCCTGCAACGTCAGTCCTGCAATGAGACAATCTCATAAACGTGACTACCTTCATAATTGTTGGGACAGGGAAAAGCCTTGGAAAGTGGAGTTTGGGGTCTCATTTTTGCTCTCTTTCGTTTGGCATCAGGCTCCAAGGGTTTTCCCCTGGGCACTTGGAGAGAGTGCGAAGTTGGCAGTGGAGTTCTGAAGACATTTCCTTCGCTGGTTCGGAGTTTTCGCCTAGTTCAGCCAAAGACTTCGGCACAAATGTCCCGGAAGTGACGCGGCCTCCTCGCGCCGCCAACCAGTCCTTGCCCAAAGCTCAGGGGAGCCCAGCTCAATCACAAGCCCATCCGTTGAAAATGCTACATCAGCATACGATATTAATAGAGAGGGATGAACAAATGCGAGTCCCTTCGGGTCCGGAGCGTAAACCTCCGGGATTGCTGGAGTTAGTGGAATAGAGGGAGGATGAAGGGGAGGGGAATTTCTGAACCTGCAGCCCCATGAGGCTGGCTAAAAGGTGTGAGGACGAGGAGGAGGAGAGGAATGGCTTGCATAAGATCATCAACGGCAAGAGCGTTTCATTGGCCCCAATTCGAGCATCCTCTGCCGGGGCACAGAAAGAAATGCGAGCAAACCAAACTCTCTAGTGGCAAGTGAAGCAAAAGATAGAGAGCTTACCGCCGCCACCCTAAATACATATATTGCATGGAAATATGTCTTGCTGAAATCAGCAGAAGTCATTTATCAATTTAAATAAATCGACAGAGATCCATATTTTCCAGTGGGACTGTGCAGCGGATTGGAAAAAACAACGTGACCTTTGCCACTGTTTGGAGGTTTAAGGCTCGCAGGATTGCGGTGCCGATACTTGTGAGGTTCAACAGTTCAGCTCAGATGATACCGTTGAGATTATGTAAGTGCAGAAACTGAACCTGAATGGGTTTACTTTCTCCCTCTTTCCTCCGCACTCCTTTCCTCTCATATCTGTTGTCTGCTAGATTGCAATCCAGAGGGCAGGGACGGTCCCGTTGCCTTTTAATCCCTGTACTGTATGCCGTTTGGAGGGCCGAGGGAAAGAGCTTTGTAAAGGTACGATGATAAATTTTGACTCTAGTTGCCCATACATTTTGGTGGAATAAAGGCAATCTGAAATTTCTCTCTGTTATAAACAGTGTGAAGACGCATCCTTTAGAATGCTCAACTGTTGTTGTTTTCTTTCCATCTGATTTACCGGAGAAGCTCAAGCAGAAAATCCGTGTTTGAACTGCCAACCCTAACCAGCCAGTTTTAAAAGCATATTAATGTTAAATTAAAATGTAGGGCGCAGGACATGTGGAAGAGAAATGCAATACTGTATCCTTAAGTGAGACAGGTCTTTCTCCCCCACCCCCAGAGATTCAAGATAAATTTAGGATGTTGGATCCCAATCTTTCACGTGATTTCCCATTCCTTAAATCATCGTTATATCCCTTGGTAAGTTTTACAATGGATCCACCGGAAATATTTTTATCAACTTAAAAAAGAGTGAGCTCTCCTGTCCTCCACATCATCACGCTTTCCACTCCTTCCTTGCTCGTTTAGTGCTAACTTCGTCTGAGTCTCATTTGGAGACCATGAACTGGGTCAACGGGTAATTGCACTTCAGCCTTCACTGTGCCCACAGTTTGTGGAACAGCGTTTTAGAAAGGATCGGGAAGCGCCTCTTTATGTTCCCTATGTGGCTGGAGAAGCTCCTTTATTTTCCTCCAAGGATCCAGAACGCGGAGCCATAACAATGCGCAGCACGAGAGTGACTTAGTTTTCTTCGGGGACTGGAACAGAGCAAAGAGTTCGAGGCGCTAGTCAGTTTCAGGGCCGCCAACTGGAGCAGCCCGGCTCTGCCTCCCTCGCGTGGATGACTTGACTTTATAAGGTCCCCGGGTGCCTGGCAGGGCTCCCCGTTCGGGTTTAACCTGGGAGAGAAACTCCTGTGCTGCTGCTCACTCGCTGGCTCTCTCTCTTTCTTTCCTCGGCTGTCATTCATCCTCCTCCTCCTCAGGGCTCCAGCCAATGGAGGAGCAGGGCCTAGTAGCGCCGGGCTCTTGGCTAACATGATTGATGCCCTTGCAGCAAGGCGAGAGAGGGAGCCCACGGGCGCGCTCGCTCCCCCCTCCCCCTCCCCCAGCTTTTCCTTCCTCCACTTGCATCTTCCTTTCCCCCCTCTTTGGGATCAAGTGAAGCGAGACCAGCGAAGCGGAGCGTATTTTTAAAAAAGTCTCTAGCTCGGAATAAGGAGGTGGTGGTGGTGGTGGTGGAGGGGGGGGGCGGCTACCCTTTTTTGGGGGTGGCTCTCGGCCCACTATGGATCACTTAGGGGCGCACCACCTCCACCAGAGCCACGCGGAGCCCATCAGCTTCGGCATCGACCAGATCCTCAATAACCCGGACCAAGGCAGCTGCATGATCTCCAACGCGCGGCTGCAGGACGCGGCGGTGGACTACGGCCTGGGAGGATGCGTGGTGAGCAGCGCTTACAACACCATGGCCGGCCACTACGGCACGGCCACCGGAGGCGGCGGCGGCGGCGGCGGCGGCGGCGGCTCCTCCTCAGCTGCGGGTTACAACAACGGCGGGGCTTGCAGCATGGCTTCGCTAGCGGGCTCTTACAACATGAACCTCGGGGTCGGGGCCATGAACGGAAATAACCTCAATTCGGCCGGGGGCGTGATCCGGGTCCCGGCGCACCGACCGCTGGCCGGAACTGTCCACCAGCCTCTCTCCACCGCCCTGCCCACCGTGCCCTCCGTGAACAACCTCACGGGGCTGACTTTTCCCTGGATGGAGAGCAACAGGCGGTACACGAAGGACAGGTTCACAGGTGAGTGAGAGACTGGGGAACAGGGCTCGCCTTCCCTCCTGCTTTACATCGCGCAAGCCACCGGCTCCCTCCGGCGCTTCCTCTTCTGGCCCATTTCTCTCTCTGTCTCTCTCTCTGTCTCTCTCTCTCTCTGTCCCAAACCGAGCTACCGGCTTGGTGTGTAGCGTCCGTTTCCTGCCCTGAGGCAACAGGACTCCCGGGCGGGCCAGGGGTACGATGTGTAACTGGTTGAACTGCATCGATTGGCTTAATTTATAAATAGGATTGATGGATGGATCTTTGATTTATGGCCTACTGGAGCTGTTATGCTTGAGAGCGGGGATTTAAAAGGAAAAAAAAACTAGTGCAGAGGTTTACTCGAATTCATTATCTTTATTTAAACTGACGATATTTTGTGATATTGTTAACAGGAGGTTCTAATATTTTTTAACTCCTTCGAATTTCGCCCCATTGAGCTATAAAATTTATCCTGAAAACTAAACTGGCATACAGATAACATGCTGTTTATCCGATCTCCTAGTTGGCCATTCCTAAAAAGCTTGGATCTCGAATCTAGGTTAAAGAGGAACTATTTACTATTTTAAAGTTGATTAAGTGGTTCAGCCTGGCCCCTACACAGTACGATTCCTTAAATGATTCATTCATGACTAATGGCCTGACTTCAAAACAGTATGTGGTCAGTCTTACTTGTTAAAGACTGCAATAAATTCTACTACAAGTAATAGTAATCACAACAATAAAATGCAGCCATGCGATTTTAATAGCAATAGTTAATATTTCTAATACCCACCGCAGTTTAGCTGTGTAACTAAAAAGGAATAAGTCAACTGTTACTGAAGAAATAGTGCATACTAAGGTTCAGCAAGCTTTTTTCCTCTAAAACTGATTTTAAAAAATATTATGGAGTATACATATTGCGTAAGCACGTATGTGTGCGTGTGTGCGCGTGTGCGTGTGTGTTCATGTAAACGAGCATGTATTGTTATATACACATATTTTCGTGTATCTGTATATAGATACACACGTATGCATGCAGAAATATACATATCTATATATCTTTAACTTTCTGCCAGTGGGAGGGTATTACATGATACTGATCTATAACATAAATAATGAAAACGCAGAATCCAGATGCGGCTGGCAAGGATGAGAGGCCGATCAATAATTTGGTCCTGGGAAGGAAAAGCTTCCTGTTGTATTCTTTTTGGATCTAACCGTGCCTAGGGTCTCGGGCATGCAAACAGAGGATCTGAGCTGTTATGCACGTAATAAATAGAAAATGTTAATCGATGTGAATGACAATTTATAGTTTAATGGCAAATGCACGGGACGAAAAACCACAAGAAACCCGTGCCCTGTTAGAAAAGTCTCGGGTGTCCCGCCTCTCTCCCCCACCGCCAAACAACGAGGTCAATAAGATTTCCATTTTGATTTAAGCAGTGAATCTTGAGTGTCATCAATAAAGTTCCCATTATCTTACACACGGAGAAGGATCTGATATATCTTCAGCGTAGGAATCCTACCTCCCTCCCGAGAGGCGGTAAAGTTCAAACTAATGACTATGCAGAGAGAGACCCAAATAAGACAGATGAGCAGATAGACGCCGGGACAGTTGGAGCGCCCTCCTGCCCAGCTGTCACTGTAGGTAGAAGGAAGATGCCATTGAGCTCAATGGGAATTACTCCATGGCCGCAATCCTGCATACTCCTACTCGTTAGTAATTCACACTGAACTCAGTGGAGACTATTTCAGACGAAACATGTACAAACATCTTTCCTCCGTAACCGAGTCCAGGACCCGATGCCTTGAGGCCTACAATCCGGTTTGCGTTTAAGATCGCCTCCTTAACTCCGCTTCATTTTCCTGAGACATTGATACTGTGGCTCAAACGAAGAAGGAAAACAGTAAATAGGAACAGAAACTGGGCACACATGAAAAAAGGGGCCTTTCACTGGACGAGTGGAGAGTCTTAGGAGAAACGACGCCCCTGAATTTGTGCATTTATTGCTAGAGGCCCACAAAGACAGAGGGAATCTTTTTCCGGGAATCGAGATTTTCCACTCCAGGTCGAGAAAACTCGGCGAGAATCGCTTTATTGTGGCCAATCCCGGGTGAGCCTCCGAAACTACTTCCTTTTTTCAGAAGTGCCTCGCGGCAGCACGGTTTAAACGTAGTTTTTTTAAAAAATCCCAATAAACTACTTATTTTCTTTCTTTCTTGATTTTCTTTTCTTTTCTTTTGGAAGGTACCATTTTTTTTTACAATTTTCATTTGTATTCCAGATTTGCCTCTCATTTTTTCTCCTTCCTTGCTCCACCACTGGAGGCCAGTGGTGCCAAAATTAAACATTACAAAATTATTATTATTATTAAAGATTTGGACTGGGCTATGTACAGAGAAGCAGGGTTAGGGGAGAGATAACTGTGATTTTTTTTAAAAAAACCCTCTAATATACAGAACATGTGGACTTTGCAAAATATAGTTCTTCCTGTCCACTATGGAACACTTCTGCCAAGTGTACGAAATTGAACAGAACTGTACACATTTATTCAGAAGTAAGTATTCATAGTTTACTCTCTGTAGGACACTATATTCAACACTATATTACTACATATCTCACTCCCTGGTATAAATGTAGAGGATTGCAGCTGCATAAAGTTAAAGGCATCATAAAGTATTCAGAAGATTTTTTCTGTATTTCAAACTAATCTCTTAGGAGTGGGAAAATATATAAGTACCCAAATAAAATCCAGTCACATTTTTCAAGTTTATGCTTTTCTCCTTATCTACCCTTCCCCTTATATATTTGTTATCATATAACAACCATATTTCTTTGCTAAGAGGTGTGTGTGTGTGTGTGTGTGTGTGTGTGTGTGTGTGTGTGTGTGTGTGTGTGTGTGTGTGTGTGTGTGTGTAGGAATAAAAAGAGAGAAGGCAGTTTAATATTTCATTCAACAGAATTCTGCTCAGTCACTTTTCACCAAGACCAGACTCACAAGTGACTTAATTTGTTGAGGTGGTGGTAGGTTTTGCTTTCCACCTCAGACATTCTAATGTTTTCTAAAAAATCAATGTAATTTAATTATTTTTTTTTAAAAAAATAGCTCCCTTGTAAAACAATCATTGCAAATTAGAGGAAGGCAGATCAAAATACATTTTCCCCCTCCGCAAAAAGAAAAATGAGACAAAAACAAAATAACCTCAAAATTTCTATTAGGACAATATCTTTATTAGATGAAACAAAATATGAGGAAGTGCATGCATGTTGTTTAGACCTGCATTTTGTGATATTATGGCCTTAATAAAGATTGTGCTGAATCCTTTCTCAGAGGTACTTGGGGAAAGTGCTTGTTTAGTTTAAATCCATAAACCGCATGGGTTTTAAAAAGAATTTCCTTCAAGTCAATGTAACTCCATCCAGGTTGGAACCAGTTTCCTCAAACATAGGGCCACAACATTTCTTTTACTTAAGAACTGACCTCTTGTATTGTTAATAATGGTTTTAATCAGTCTTCTTATTTAAATATAGACCTGATATTTTTATTGGGGAAGGGAAGGAGCCCTTTGGTTTTTTTTAAAAAGTAAACAAATATTTTATGTATTGCAAGCAACTCTGAATCAGGTTTGGAACTTATATTAAGAACCAAAATCTATAAAATGTTATATGGAGGTTTGGAAGGTATAATAAGGCAGTGGAGAAAAAAAGATGGAAAACTATTCTTTACATCTTTATTCAAAATTGTCCCATTGTTGCTGCAGTCCAAAATATGCTACTCCAGTGTGATGCCATTGAATGCATTTGGATCTGAGTAAAATATGAATAGCCTCATATCGGACAGGTGTTTTATGTTTCCTCATACCTCAGCCTTTGGATGTTTAATCAGAAATAGTTCTCTATAAGTTCAGTAAGACTTCCTTATTCTATGTTTAAATTTGCAGTCTTAGTAATGTACATTTCCACATCACTTTATCTGCTCTAAACCTTTCTTCTGAAGAAAATGATTTAGTAAAAACCCAAATTTTTTTGAAACAATCTTCTAAGACTGGTTTATTTTGAAGCAAATCCTATATATTTCTGTGGGATTTACTTCAAGGTATGTATTTCTAGTGCTTTACTCCTGGTGCTGCACTTCAGCATACAAACAAAAATTTAACAAATAATCCAAAAACCTTGCCCGGAAGTAAGAATTACAGAAATCTTTACAAAAATCAAAGCTGGGAGAAGTAGGGGTGTGAGGAAACAGATTCTGATTACTACATTTGATTGGCATTTTGTGATTCTTGCCAGGTTCTGATGTTTTTGCTCATGTATATGCATGGAAGTACTTTCCCCCCTAGCTTTTAGCCAGTCAGGCAACTCTCCACCTTTGCGTACAGGATTAGTAAATGCAAGGAGCATATAAAAAAACCAGTGTGGAGCCATGGATAGAGTGCCAGAATAGGGTGCAAGAAGCTGGGGTTCAAACCTCTGCTGGATCGTGGCAACTCACGGGGGGCTGGGACGGATAAAAACCGCTCATTCAGGTGTCTCAAAAGGTCTGCCTGGGTCGCCCTAAATTGGAAATGACTTCAGCACAGATAATACTTGTATGAGGAATTAAGCATGCATTTTATGAGTAAAAATCACACCCCCTGAGCTCACTTTGCCTCACCCTGCCTTCAAAGCAAGGAAGCAAACCCAATCGAACTCTTCCCTTTGTTTCCTCTTAAGAGAATGGGGATTCTGAAGCCGAATCCTGAGCATAGTGCAAAATGGTTGCGTTCCCCAACACGCGAAGTCCTGACTGTGCCGCTCGGCAGCCTGAAAAGTTTGCCCTTCCCTAGTTTGTTTCTGTCCACTGACAGAAGGGGACAAGTTGGATGACTATTTTTTTGGGGGGGGGCAGTTTACTGCAAATGTCCGAAAGGGTCCTCCCCCCTTGCTGTGATCACAAGCCTCTCTCATCGTGCCTTGTTCCAAAGACGGCAAAGAAAGCCTCTGTCAAGGTGCCGAATCGCCC